GCAGCCGGTCAAGCGCACTCGAGTACGCGCGGTACGGCCAGGAGAGCGACGACGAAGACGACGAGGACGAATCCACGGCGGCGACGGCGGCGACGGCGGCGACGGCCCAGCCCAGCGGTGCCGAGCGGGAGCGGGCGGCGGAGCGCGTGCTGATCCGACACTATTCGCGGCACGGCGGCCCGGCGTTTGCAAAGGACGCGGCGACGCGCAAGAGCGCGCAGCGCAAGGAGCTGCGGCAGCAGCTGGACGGCGTTGGCGGGCGGCGGTGGGACGACGGGCTTATCGAGAGCTGGGCGACGATGTTTGAGCGCAATCCGCGCAAGGACAAGCTGCTGGCGTCGGCCAACGACATCCTGCTCAACGCCGCGCCCGGCAACCACCATTTCGGCGGGGGCGGCGGTGGCAATGCCAACCACGGTGCGGGTGGACAGGGCGAGGAGAGGAGATTTGGGCCGGATCGCGGGCGCGGTGGACGCATCATGCGCGGCGGTGGGCGTGGAGGGGGAGGGGGAGGGGGAGGAGGAGCGAGGGGTGGCGGTGGCCAACAAGGCGGCGGATCGAGCAGTCGCGGACGGGGCACGGGCAACAGCGGCAACGACCGAGCGGCCAAGATGAAGGAGAAGCGGGGCAACCAGGCGCGGCAGCGCGGCTTTGACAAAAAGGTGGCCAGAGGCGCCGCGGGGGTCGCTGGCGACTAGCTACCGTATGGACAGTACAGGGAGTAGCTGAGGGCAGGGCGTGGCGTGGCGAGCCGTGGGCTATCGCTGAGCAGGAGAGATACACCTGCAACGTCGATCCCCTGCCATGCATGCCATGTCGTGCCACGTCACCCGTCACCCGCACGAGCGACGTCACCTACCGGTACTCTTCTCTGTACCACCTCGACGTGGTTTGAAAGCGCGGGCGCCAACGACGAGGCGGTGCTCTGTTGGGTCGGGCACCCAACGCTCTGTCTGCGAAGCGAGGCGGTGGTGGGTGCGGATGAGGTAATCGCAGGCCTGCTGGGCGTGGCCGGCGTATCGGCTGAGCCGCTGCGCTGCTGGCCCTAGCCTGGCTCTGCTGGCGCCGCTTTGAAACGCGGGCGTGGGCCGCTGCTGCCTGGCCTGGCCTGGCGCTGGATCAGGCCATGTTCGAAATTCGCAGCGGCCTGCTGCTGGCCATGCGCCGGCCCTGGCTCGCCCACCTTGTCGCCCGCCGCCAGCTATGTACCGTGGCCGGCAACTCGCACCACTTTTGAGCTCTAAACATAGCAGGCAGCAGGGTCAGGGCAGGGCTACATCTATCCACCTTCTCGACTTCTCGTCCCCTTCGCCGACCACCATCACCCGCTTGCACCTCCATACCAACGACCCAAACGAATAACAGCAAAGCAACTCGCCTCGATACTCTCTAGCCGGCTCTGGCAGCCTCCTTTGCTCAACCTCATCCCCGAGCATCTCATCACAGCACACGGTCTCGACACGCCATCATGACCATGTCGACCACCCAGCACGCCCCTATCCGCTCGCCACAGGATCCCCGCTTCGCCGCGCACTCGCCGTCCTCGTCTTCGTCCTCGGCCTCCTCCTCACAACCAGACGTCATCGTCGTCGGCTCCGGCATCGTCGGCTCAGCGCTAGCCTACGGCCTCGGGCGCTCCGGCAGAAACGTCGCCCTCGTCGAGCGCGACTTTGACGAGCCAGACCGCATCGTCGGCGAGCTCCTCCAGCCCGGCGGCGTGCGCGCGCTCGGCCTCCTCGGTCTCGCAGACACCCTCGACGGCATCGACGCCGTCGCCGTCGAAGGCTACCAGGTCTTTTACGGCGACCGCTCCGTCCCCATCCCGTACCCCGACCAGAAGGCAGAGGAGAGCGACCTCGGCGTCTCGAGCTCCAGCGGCAGGGTCGAGGGCCGATCCTTCCACCACGGCAAGTTTGTGCAGTCGCTCAGGAGCAGGGCCCTCGCCCAGCCCAACGTCACCGCCTACGAGGCCACGGTGCGCGACCTCATCCACGACCCAAAGCAGCCGGGCAAGGTCGCCGGCATCACGGCCACCTGGAAGGCACCTCCAGCAGCAGCAGCGGCCGCTGCGGCCGACACGCGCGACAGTCCGGGCTCGTTTGAGCTGCGCGCGCCGCTCACGATCGTCGTCGACGGGTGCTTCTCCAAGTTCCGACGCACCCACGGCAGCTCAATTGCACCCACGGTGCGCTCCAACTTTGTCGGCCTCGAGCTCGAGGATGCTCCCTTGCCCGCACCGCACCACGGCCACGTCGTGCTGGGCAAGGCGGGGCCCGTGCTCCTCTACCAGATCGGCAGCCACTCGACGCGCATCCTCATCGACGTGCAAGGCGAGAAGCTGCCGTCGGCGGCCAAGGGCGAGCTGCAGGCACACATCCGCGATAAGGTCATCCCGCAGCTGCCCGAGCAGCTGCGCGAGTGCGTGCTCAAGGAGCTCGACAAGGGTCAGCGGCTGCGGAGCATGCCCAACTCGTTCCTGCCGCCGTCGATGCAGGGCCAGAGCGACAGCGCGCAGGGCGTCGTCGTCGTCGGCGACGCCATGAACATGCGCCACCCGCTCACCGGCGGCGGCATGTCGGTCGGGCTGTGGGACGCGGTGCACCTCACCTCGCTCCTGTCGGGCGGCGAGTGGACGCCGTCGCCGGCGCGCACG